CCATAGAATATGTGGGGGATGGATCTGGGAATGTGCCTAGGCTTGAACCCTTATCCATGAAATTAATTAGAGATTTAAAACAAGCTGTGGCCAGGTATGGCATTCAAGCACCTTATGTCAGAGGTCTCATTAACACCATCAGCAGCTCCTTTTTTCTCCAAAAGGCTGTCCAGAGACAAATTTCAAATGGAGAGGCCCGCAGAGAGCTTCTGTTGAAATTAGCCTTTGAGAATGCAAATGAGGATTGCAAAAGGATTCTGCAGCCTCTGGCTGCCCGAGGGGGGGGGGGGGTTCCCTCTCGGACTATCTAAAGGCTAGCAGAATCGTGGGGACTGTTTCCTACGATATGGAACACCTGGCAATGGCCCTGTGGCGAGCGAATTCTCAAAACAGGCCGGCTGGGAATTGCTTCAATTGTGGGAAACCAGGCCACTTCAAAGCACAATGTAGGGCTAGGGACAATCCACAAAACAACAACAAGCCAAAAACAATTTGCCCAAGGTGCAAAAAAAAAGGGCACCGCTGGGCAAGCCAGTGTTGCAGCACGCCCCCCCCAACCGCAGGGAAACTAGAGGGGGGGCAGTCAGCCAGCCCCACCCCAAAGGCTGACACCATATCTTTCCAATTAGTTGCTTCTGAAGATATGGAAATTGACATCCCAGGCACTGTGTACTTTCTCCCCACGTGTCTGAATAACTCCTCTCCCCAGTCTTGCTTTCAATGGAAAGTCCTACCTCAGGGCATGCTCAACAGCCCCACCATGTGTCAGCACTATGTAAATAAGGTCCTGTTACCCTATCGTTCTGCCTATCCACAATTCCTGGTGTACCATTACATGGATGACATCCTTGTTGCTGCTCCTGGACCCCCAGGTACAGTGTTTCTCTTTCCTGAAAGCCATCCTCGCAAAGGGAGGCTTGCACATAGCGCCTGAAAAGGTACAAGTGCTGACTCCCTATGCATATCTAGGCTATAAAATGCTCTCAACTACTGCCTATCCTTCACTCCCCTCACTCTCTCTGCCTCCTCAACCTACCCTGGTTCAGCTTCAACAATATCTGGGCACCATTAATTGGGCCCGACCTTTCCTGTCACTAACCACTGACACTCTCTCCCCGCTGTTCGAAGCCCTTACTTGGGGAAAAGGGCCCGCTGACAAAATATCCTTGCAGCAACCTCAGCTTCAAGCGCTGACCCATATAGAAGAGAACATACGTAGAATATGGGTGGATAGGGCCGCTGCCAATACTCCTCTAGATATGGTCATTCTAGCCACCCCAAGGCTCTTGACCGCGGCAGTGACCCAAAAGGACCAAAAGCTCCACATCTTAGAGTGGATCCATCTCTCCCACACGCCCCGATGCTCCCTCACTTCCAAACCAGCTCAATTGGCTCAATTAATCGTAAAGGGCAGGAGCCGCACAAAAGCACTCATGGGGATAGATGTCTCCACACTTTTTATCCCCTTCTCGCTGCAAATTTGGGAACCTCTATTCCAAAACTCCCAGGAGCTTCAGTTGGCCTTATCCGACTGGCCTGGGCTAGTCTCCTGCCACCTACCCGCTGACCCACGTTTTCAGATCATTCGAACCATACCCATCTCCTTCTCCTCTCCCATCAGCAAACAACCTTTGGTCAGTGCCCTGACTATATTTGCTGATGGCAGCAGGGAACGAGGGGCATGCGCTTGGCAAAAGAATGGAGCATGGCACACCAAAACCACCCCTGTGCAGACTTCACCACAAAGGGCTGAGCTTGCTGCAACCATACTAGTCCTCCAAAATTTCAGCGAACCCCTCAACTTGATCTTGGACAGCCTGTATGTTACCCAAATAGTCTCTACCATCCACGACTCTTACCTCTCTCCCGCTATTGACAAGAACCTTCTCTCTCTTTTTGTTACACTGCAACAGCTTGTTGCGCAACGACAACACCCTCTCTTTGTAGCCCACATTCGCAGCCACCAGCCTTTCCCAGGAATTCTCCAGGAAGGCAATGATGTGGCTGATCAAGCGGCTGCAGGTATTATGACCACGCACACCCTAACTCCCTGGGAAAGCCATTCTTACTTTCATCAAAATGCCAAAGCCCTCATGAAACATTTTAACCTTACCATGGCAGAAGCCTCAGCCATCAGACAGCAATGCCCCACCTGCAGTCAGCAAGCCAATTCCATCCCCTTAGGAGTAAATCCCCGTGGGTTGAAAGCCTGTGAAATATGGCAAATGGACGTTACTCAGTTTCCTCCATTTGCCCCCTGGAAGTACCTGCATGTCACAATTGATACTTATTCAGGGCAACCCCGCAGAGAGGAGAAGCCTCTAAACATGTCATTAACCACTGCATTCGCACCTTTGCATCGTTGGGACGCCCAAACGAAATAAAAACAGACAATGGTCCTGCATACACTAGTGCGGCTATGTCAGAATTTTGCTCTAAGTGGCAGGTCACCCACAAATTTGGGATCCCTTACAACAGCCAGGGACAAGCCCTGGCAGAGAGAGCCGATTTAACTTTAAAGACAGTGCTAGAACGACATCTGACCAAAGGGAAAAAAAACCCTTGGCCTCCCGGCGATGCAAAACACCCTTAATCTTTGCCTTTATACGCTTAATTTCCTCAATTTCTCTGGCACCCCTGCCACGACAGCAGCGGAGCAACACTTTTCCTCCCCCCCCCTCCTGATTCTCCCAAACCACAGGTATACTACCGCCAACTGCCAGACCCTGCTTGGAAGGGTCCTGCTGATCTCCTCATCTGGGGTCGTGGCTACGCAGCTATCCAGCTTCCAGATCGTGTCCTGTGGGTTCCTGGACGGCACGTCAGACCATACTACCCCAAGGTAGCAAAACCACCAGCTGCAGATATATCAACATGATCTGCCCTGCTGCTTCGCTGACCCTTCTCCTCTTCCTCCTTGCTGCACACGCCTCCAAAGTTTCCATTCCATCCAGAGTAACATACTTCACGCCAGACACCCCCCTCCTGCTGACCTGCACTGCATCCTGGGACATTTTCCCCCCTTATCTCAGATGGTCAACGCTTCCTCAGCCATGGTCCTACATCTCCAGCAACGCCTCTTTCCGGGTCAACACCTTTGAACAACCCCCTCGAGCTACACTCCTCATATCTCATCCTACTGCAACCACCTACTATTGTTCAGGTCGACGCCTCCATGATTCCACGCGCAACACCTACAGCTCCTGGACAATCCTCAGACCTCATCATCATCACAGACAATTTGTGAATCAGCCTGACACTCATATTCAGAACCCCCCTTTGCTGCATAGGATCAAAAGATCACAAAAACCCGCCAAACCAGATGACTGCACCCCCTGCTTGACCAAAACCACACAAGCAGGCTTCACTCGACTGACTCTCATTTACCATACCCAGCAACCACAGAGATGCCTTTCTACTGGGAAAACTTGCCAGAATAACGGGACTATGTATCAGTTATGCAAAATGAACTCAAAAACTATTTGCTATGACCCCAAGACGGCTGTTCGCCTCAATGTTACTTTGTGGGCCGGACTTCCAAAAGCCTCTGGCAGAGCCGATCCTGAAGGGGAGGGAAAACTTTACTACCTAAATCACACCACTGTGCTTAAGGATGGTACTGACCCAATTGTCTTAACTTTTGATGTTTGCATTGCTTGTTCCAAACCAGGGGGATATCCTTGTGGGTCAGATGATTGGAAAACCAAATATGCTCATGATCATAAGTATTTGTGTCCCACGCCCATCAATTGGGCCGTAGGAAACCCTAATCATTGGATCCCTTGCGGGGGCTCCATTGAATGCTCGGGTTGGTCTTGTGTCTGTGATTACACTGGGGGAGGGTACTCAGGCTGCAATCATCTGTCACATTTTAAACGAGTATCAGGGTCTACCAAGGACAACAAGGTAGAGATCACTATCTCCAGACAACACCCCGCCATGGATACCTATGGTATAGGGATCGATGGCATAGGAGCAGACCCAAACACCTACATTACTATAAAAACAGAAGTGATATATGAGGGTAAGGAAACATCATTAGGCTGGTCGGTGTATAATAATTTAAGAAAGTTAGATAAAGCCCCTGATACCAGCATAATAGCAAAAAACCTATTCATGGACATGGCAGAAAAAATTGCAAAACAACTTGCAATAACCAATTGCTTTGTCTGCGGGGGAACCACCACAGGAGAACAGTGGCCATGGCAAGCCTTAGAAGCCTCGCCATCACTGTTCAGCAACATGTCTTCTATAGGAAACATAACAGCCAGAACTGCCCCCGACCCCCTTATCTGGACAATTACTACCAATCTAATCGGTAGAAACTGCTTCTCCCGAAACGGGTCCATTCCGGTAGGACATCTCCTTTGTTTAGGTACGTGGGACATCTCCTACCAGAATTGGACAGCACCTGATAATGCTACTACCACACCCACAAAATTCAACACAACCCTCCTCCCTTATCTCAGGGACACTTCATCCTCCCAGAACTGGACTGCACCCAATGACATGTATTGGATCTGCGGTAACCTAGCCTACCCATCCCTCCCAGCAGATTGGCAAGGGTCATGTGTATTGGGATGGATAAGACCTTCCTTCTTCCTCCTTCCAATCTCAGTGAAGCAGGAAGTAGGCATCCCTGTTTATGACATGTTGTCTCGCAAAAAAAGGGAAGCCGTAGGAACGGGGGGTATGTGGAAGGTTTAATCTCACAAATTGCTGTCTTCAAATTGACAAGGTTGGCAAAGTCGTAGCGCAGTTAACTACTGAGATGCGACAATTAACCTACAATCCGGATCAAGTATGGCGAGGTATGGACCTCAAAAATATCTTTGGCTCCTGGCTCCCAAAACTGCCAGGATTACAAGCTATAGTAGCGCTCATAGGTATTATTGCTGCTGGGTGTGTCATTCTTCCATGTATATTACCAATCTTTGTTCGCACCATCTCCAATAGTCTGTCACTGCTAGCAGAAAAACGCGCCATTGCACAGGTCAATGCCCTCTGGGAAAAAGAATCTCTGTACAAAGCTATACCCTCAGAGGACCCCGATGAGAACATGCGCACGGGCTTCTGTATGGGCTATAGCGAAGAACCAGAAGAAATCCCTCTGCGTAAAACTAAAACAGAGGAGATGCAGCAGCGAATCCACATCTAACAGCCTGGGCATATGCCAAAGCCTCACGTAGGCAAAGGAGTTTTGATATATGCCAAGCCTCACGTAGGCAAAGGAGTTTTCGATACCTGCAAGACCTCACGTAGGCTGAAAGCAGGTATCAGGAACAAAAGGATGCTGCCCACCTTGGGCTACTGGCTGGACTGCAGGCGCGGATTGGTTATTTTGTATCCCTTAAGCACTGTGATTGGGTGCTACAATGTATCCACTGAGACCCCCCACTCTTTTAACATGTAAAGTAGACGGAACTCTCTCTTTTGTGACGTTTAACAATGTGTGTTCAATAAAAGAGCTTCCCTGAGCGCGTGCTCGGGGCTGCTCATCCAAGACTGAACCGGCTTGGTCTCTTTCTTGATGCATTGGACTCAATGAGAAGCCCTCCTAATGCGGAGCAAAGCCGCACCATTCCATTCCATTTCATTCTATTCTATTCTATTCTATTCTATTCTATTCTATTATTGTAAAGTGTAATAAGGACATTCCATGGTATTTTTTCAGTTCTGGGTTAACGAAATCCATTCAATTCTGCCAAAGATGAGAGTTCAATTTCCACTCACTGGGTTCAGCATAAATTGTTCCAACGTCCACCTGGAAGACATAAACAGAAAGACCCTTCAGGCTGGACTTCACCGCTCCCCAGAAGCCCCCTCTGCCCTCACCCCCCACCCCCACCCAGGATAGAAAGTCAGACCCCTCCTGGTCAATGCTCCCAACACTGGAAGTTTTGAAGGAGAGACTGGACAACTATTTGTCTGAAATGGTCTAGCTTTTCCTGCACAAGCAGGGGGTTGGACTAGAAGACCTCTAAGGCCCCTTCCAACTCTGCTATTCTACATTCTGTCATGTTTCTGCAGATGGTGGTGATGAAGCAGAGGTGGTATATTCAGCCGGTTCTGACCAGTTCTGGAGAACCAGTAGCGGAAATTTTGAGAAGTTGGGAGAACCAGCAAATCCCACCTCTGACTGGCCCCGCCAACCCCCATCTCTTCTCTGCCTCCCATTGAGTCCCAGCTGATCGGCTGGGTCTCCTTTGGTTGCCCTGCACAGGAGAACGGAGCTGGAAAGCAGGTTAATGGGGTGGGGAGGGAAGGGGGATTTTGCAGTAATATCCTTCCCTTGCCACGCCCACCAAGCCACGCCCACCAAGCCCCAGCCACAGAACCGGTAGTACAAAATTTTTGAATCCCACCCCTTGTAACGAAGGTGGTGATGAATTGCTTTTTCTTGCAACAGTGCAGCACTGCAACACAGGAAAGAGAGACAGTGACAATTGCGCATGACTCCTGGAGGCCAGGAGGCCTATCCAAAGAAAAGTCTTCTCCATAATTATTGGGAGAAACAAATGAGCTGATCGGGAAGGAAACGACTTACCCGGAATTCTCCGATCACAGAGTCTGTCCGGAGAGAACGAGAGTCAACAACCTGAAGAGGGACACCAAAAAAATAAATAAAAAATGAGCCTCCACTTAAACAACGTGTCCTAAGATGCCAGCTGACCTTCTGCCCCTCAAGGGTCTTAGCATTTGGGCCAAGAGCCAACGCCTCCTGGGCGTTGCACCAAGATTTGGGTGAGCTTTCTGTGTCCTCCTACAAGCTCTGGTGAACTTCCATTCCAGGTTGGGCAGGCATTTCCCAAGACTGCAGGGCAAGATTGGAGGTATCTCCCAAGGGTTGGTGAGCTTGCGAAAGAGGTCAGAGGATTTGGAGATAACTCAAGTGAGCTGGCTGATCCCTTGATCAAAAGGCAACAGGGGGGAAAAAAAGAAAAAAACGATGAAATCTGGCACCACCTTAGTCATGAAAGCCAAATGGACGACTTTGGGTCAATCCCTAGGAGACAGTGAGTTCTAGTACGGCCTTAAGCATAAAAGCCAGCTGGTTGACTTTGGGCCAATGACCAAGAGACAGTGAGTTCTACTCCCACTTTAGGCATGAAAACTGGCTGGGTGACTTTGGGCCAATCACTAGGAGACGGTGAGTTCTAGTTCTACCTTAGCCATGAAAGATAGCTGGGTGACTTCCCTCCGTCTCGGACCAACCCACCTCACAGGGTTGCTGTTGTGCGGAGAACAAAAGGAAGGAAGACCATTAGCTCCATTCATCGCCTTGTTTGTAAAACTAATGAAGGTGGGATGCAAATAAACAAATGGTAAATGAAATTTGGGGGAGGGGATGTGAACTCTCCCGAATGTTGGACTATTTGGGTTGGACTAGATGACCTACAAGGTCCCTTCCAACTCTGATTATCTGTTAAGTGTGGAATGTGCCTCCCCCGATGAAAGACAGTTGCCATGGCCTCCCCTTGTGTCGGTCACATTTGACGCACGCATCTAAGAGGAACACTTCCTATGCTCCGTGATACATTCTCCGTGTAAGCCAAGGAAGAGGAGCCCCAACCCACTTACCGTGATGAATATGGGCTGGTCGAAAAGGTCCACGGGGGATTCAAAAACGTTGAAGAAAAAGGTCTGCAGGAGACAGAGAGAGGAGGGAGGTTTAGCTGCACCGCAAACGCATTCCAGGAAACTGACCCCGATGGAAGAATCTGGATTCTGTAACACCTTTTTTCCCTAGGGCCATCCGTCTGGCAAACTCGCAAGATTCGTTTCTCTCGCCATGTCCACGAATACATCCGAGCTAAACTGTGTTGTTTTGCCGTGTCATATAATATTTGTGAGTACACGCATGAGTTTGTATCTGTTTGTTTGTCTATCTTGTCGTGTTTATGTTTATATTGGAGGTGGTGACCCTTTGAGCGCTGCACGCAACGTAATTTCATTTTAATATATGCTGATTGGTGTACATTCAAAGGGAACAATAAAGTTATTCCAAGGCTGGGGTCTTCAAACTTGGCAAGTTTAAGACTTGTGGACTTCAACTCCCAGAATTCCTCCTCCAGACAGACCCTTGTGATAGATGATGAATGGATGGATGGATGGGTGGATGGGGAGACAATAGATAGACAGACAGACAAATAGATGATAGACCAGGGGTCCCCAAACTTGCCCGCTTTAAGACTTGTGGACTTCAACTCCCAGAATTCCTCCTCCAGTCATGTTAGCTCAGGAATTCTGGGAGTTGAAGTCCACAAGTCTGAAACTTACCAAGTTTGAAGACCCTTGTAATAGATTATGGATGGATGGATGGATGGATGGATGGATGGATGAGGAGACGATAGATAGACAGACAGACAGATAGATGATAGAATTCAGAGGTCTTCAAACTTGACAGCTTTAAGACTGGTGGACTTAAACTCCCAGAATTCCTCCTCCAGTCAAGTTAGCTCAGGATTTCTGAGAGTTGAAGTCCACCAGACTTAAACTTGCCAAATTTGAAGACCCTTGATCGAAGGTCTAAGTCTTTTCTCACCTCATCAAAAAAGGGGCCGTTTCCTTTCCGGATCCGGGTTCTCTTGGTCTGCCCCACTGCCGTGACCTTCACCACAGACTTGAGGTTGACCCCGGAGAGCTGCCTCCCTTCAATGATGCGGACCCGGATCTAAAAAGGCGAAGGACAGGATTACTTGCCAGGTATTTGCCTACCACATACGTTTCTGTATATATATCCGTCTTGTAGATAAACCGCTGTTAAATGTCTAAGCCTCTCAGTGCCGTGTTTTGCTCATAGGTTGCTTCAATAGTAGTCACGTTGCAAATGCTCTGACAGAGTCTAATCCAGCCAATCGGTTGGAACACCCGTTCGGTGAACGAGATGAGAATTTAACAACCAGTTCACCCAAACCAGTCCGAACCGGTAGAATCCCACCCCTGGCAGAGACCCTTTTTAGATCAAGGGCAGAACCCAGCAACCCCTGCATGATTGGCAGACGCTCCCCAGACCTTCACAAAGGTGTTCTTGAGGTTGGTCACCTGGAAATCCTGGGGTTTGTTGGAGAGCAGCTTCCGGGAAGTGCTTTTCCTCCTCTTGCTTGCAGGAAGAATGTGAGACGGCGGCCTTTTGGGCAAGGAAGGCTGATCGGGAGCTGAGGGTCTTGCAGAAGGATCGGCTTCCTCTTCGGTGCCCAGCTGGTCCTCACTGTCTTCTTCTCCCCCTGTGTCTGCAGGAGAAGAAGGTTCGCTGCTTTTAGCCTCCCCATCAGATTTTTCAGGGCGGCTCATAAACTGCCCTCAAAGCAAAGCTACCCCAAAGGAGACAACATGACTCACGGCGGGATTACATTTCTAAGCATGGCCAGGAAGTTTGTGACAAACTTCAGGGACTAAAAAGGGCAGGAAAATAATTCAGGGGGTGGGGTGTTAGGGAATATTTTGTACTGAACTGATTTAGGGTTTGATTTTAAGGTATTAGGTCTCCTGTGTGAGCAGGAAAGACTAGAAGACCTCCAAGGTCTCTTCCAACTCTGTTCTTCTGTCATTCTGTGATTCTGTTATGTTACTCTCTTATTATGTTATTCCGTTGTTCTGTTGTTGTTCTGTTATTCTGTTGTTCTGTTGTTCTGTCATTCTGTTGTTCTGTTGTTCTGATATTTTGAAATCCTGTTACTTTGTTATTATGCTATTCTGTCGTTCTGTTATTCTGATATTCTGAAATCCTGTTACTCTGTTATTCTGC